AATCTAGAAAATCGGGGCAAATGCTGCTCCTCAAGTTCACTCTTTCTCCCTTCCAGTAGCTTTTGCAGTCTCCGTTGTGAGGGAGAGCCCAGATATGTTTAAAGCATTTAGGAATGCAGACATGGCTTTGCCACCTCCATCCAGGTCTTGGGAGGGGAAAGCAGCGAGAGAAGCTACAGAAGCCCCAGCAGAATTGGGATAGGGGAGATGGGAGCTCCCAGTAGAATTGGATGTTTGGGAATTGTGTGCCAGACAAACAGAGAATAAATGCTACATATGAAGCAAAGGCACCATAAGAGGAGGAGTGTGTGAAGGGCATGTTTGTGTGGGAGAGAGAGGTATGAAGACCCAAAAGGAAAAATGGCTGAACACGAGGATAAAATAAATGAAAGCATAAAGCAAAAGCAAGAAAAGAGAAATAGGTAATGCTTGTTTGGGTGTGGGTGTAAATCCCGAGCCTTAGAGACAGTCTGCAATTAAAAAAAGGAGGGGAAAAAAAAAGGGGGGGTGGGGAGTGAGTAGAGACAAGAAAGAGACCATGGTATAAGAACAGGCGAAGAACCTGGAAAGGGCACGAGGTTTAATGAAACTTTAATGAGTCACCACTCATAGCAGCAGTGTCCGCTGCTAGCTTGTATACATGTGTGATCTGGCAGTGACAGAGTCTCTCCTCGTTCTGCTCCTGGTCCCTTGTGTTCCCCTAGTACATCTGCCTACTCTAGGTGCTGGTCCTGCCCCACCGTCAGGGTATTGGTGCAGTGGCCAGGCTGAAGGATCACCAGTTTCTTTTTGTGCTTGTGGGAGTTCACCATGGTACAAATGATTCATGTAAGCTAATAATTAATGTAAGTTATTGCCATAAGGACACTGAGCAGGAGAGGAAATTAGCTTATAAAGTAAAGGTTTGCAGAGAAAATGTTTAGCAAAGAGCTTTCTCTGTTGATGTGGTCCAGAGGACAACTGTTAAAGGAAAACTGGAGTAGAACAAGAATAGAAAAACCCACCCTAAGTTAGTGGTTACTGTGCCACGTGCACACTATTGCCAAACAAAGAACTGCAAACTTGATGACAAAGCTGTATATAAACTTGCATGATGAAATCTGAAGCTGGACAAACACAGCTTCATTTTCATTTATAGTTTAAAGCCCATAATCTGTCCACGTTCATAAAGATCTTGACAAAGTTGAGCCAAGTTTTAGGAGACCGTGCTTTTCTGATGGAAACTATGCAAAAAGGATGGGCTTTCATGCCAATGCAGATAAAAGTTATGGGTTTGAATGTGGTTTACTTTAAGTTTGGGAGTTAAAGGCTAAGCTCAAAGTAAAATAAAACTCGGAGACTTCTGGCCAACAAAAGAAAAAGTTAACTGGAGCCACAGCTTGCTTTTTTTTTTTTTTTTTTCTTTCCTGCTTTTTTTTTTTGTGTGTGTGTGACAGTCTGTACTCTGTCTTTGTGGGGTTTTTGTTTTGTATTTACCCCATTGCCATAAATAAAAATGGAATACAGATTCTGCTCTGCCTTTGGTTTTCTTGTTAACAAACATCTGGAAACTCAGCTTGTATAATAAATAGGCTTTAGCAAGTAGGTTTTGCTCTACAGTGTCTCTTTTGGGAATGGTTATATTAATATTGGCTCTGCTCTAGAGGAAGAAGTCAGCTGGACTTGTGTTTTCCTGTTGCAGATGTTGTCCTGGAGAAGGCGATGCATAAGTGCATTCTGAAGCCGTTGAAGGGCCACATTGAAGCTATGTTGAAAGAGTTTCATACTGCAGACGGTTCTTGGAAACAGCTAAAGGAAAACCTGCAGTTGGTGCGGCAGAGGAATCCTCAGGAACTGGGTGTGTTTGTTCCAACACCAGACTTTGTGGATGTTGAAAAGATTAAAGTCAAGTTCATGACCATGCAGAAAATGTATTCACCTGAAAAGAAAGTCATGCTGCTGCTGAGAGTTTGCAAATTGATCTACACTGTTATGGAGAATAACTCAGGTATGGTGCTTCTCATGGTTCAAGTTCAATGGTATTCCAAACCTGGGGTTGTCTTTCTGGGGTGGACGAAATTGGACCACCTGATTCTGCAGATATGTCTCCTTCTCCTGGAGCTCTCCTAGCATCTCCTTGCCCTTTTGGGAGGGATTCCTTGTCTTTGCTTCTTTCCTGATTTCTCTGATGCATCTGGCAGCACATCTTAAAAATTCAGGGTAAAGCAGAGTTGTGAAGCAGCTTAAAAAAAAAAAAAAGCTTTGCTTAACTATAAGCTTTTGAAGTTGGCTATCAGAAAGGCTGTCCTGTAAGCCTTGAATTTGACACTGATTCTAAATTAGTATTTTTCTGGAAATTGTAATAGAGGTAACACCCTGTATTTAGCTATAATAATTCAATAGCATGTATGCAATACGACAACTACAAGGGCACTGTGTTGATGGGTGGAGGAAGGCAGCCTCTGATGCAGTGTTTTTGGCTTGCTGTGCCTCTGAATGTTCTCATTTGGACACTCTCTCTCGGGTTATTTGGAACAGAAGACATCTATTTCTACACTGTAGCATGAGTCCAAATGTGAACTTGAAACCTAGATAATGAAATGGAGCTACAGACCAGTAAGACCTGCTGAGTGGTCAGTGGCACAATTAAAATGCTGTTCTGGATGGCATGAACTCATAGGTGGGACTCTGTTGCCTGATGTCTTATCATACACTGCTGTGGTAGGTCTAGCTAAGGTGAAGCAATGCTGGTG